GTAATTTTGGTGTGTTGGAAAACGAGCAGGCAGATGGACTGTTTGTTCTGCTCCACTTGGTGGTGAACTAGATCTTGTGATGGTCCTTTCGGAGCAAGTGAACAATGCGCAAGCACAAATAGATCATTGCAATCTAAGGACAGTGGCGATGCGAGGAGTTGCCAGGAGATTTCGCCGACTCTCTACTTTCAAGGGGAAGTCGAGACCGATATAAAATTAGACAGTTACTGGTACCATCGCAATACCATCATCTTTTTTCCTAGGTAGTAAAGCCGTTGATTATATCAAGAATGTGATTGTTTAGTTTGATGTCAGCATTATACAATTTAGAGCTATAAATCTGATTCAAAAACAGTGAATGGTTTACAATGGCGACTTGTCGGGTTGTGGATCAACAATCTTAAGCCAAGCTAGAGGGAAACACGTTCCGCCATCTTGACCCAAACCGGAAATATATGTATGTAAAGAACCCTGTTTACAGTAGTTCCAAACCAGCAGACATATGATGCTAGTGACATTTTTATAGACCTCGATGGCTGCAATGATCATCATTACACCAAACGCCTTTACGCACACGGACCTCTCCAGCAACCCCTTTCAGTCTGGGGAGATCTGGGAGGTAAAGCCAATTTTTCAAATCTGGTATGTTCAGTTCCTTCAGAGCTCTGGGCGGGCTTGCAGCTGCTTGAGTTAGAGCCCTTTTCCCGTTTAATGATGAGGAGCTTATGATATTCTTAAAAATGACGTGACTAAAAAAATACCAAAATCAAAAAGCCAATTTGCACAAACACAAACATATACAGATACAAAAATAAAATTAAAAATTAAAAACAAATTAACCAACTAAAAAATTTTTTTTTTTAAATTCATCATCATCAATCAGCAAGTCCTTTACAGAATCACTCTTCTCACGGTATGCGTGAAAGTATCCCTTTCCCTGGCCAGCTCTCTAACCCCATGTGCTTTCATTTCTAATGGATTTTCAATGTCCTGTTATCCATCTTCTCAGAGATCCACTCCTGCCTCGCCTTCCACAAACTGCACCATTCAACACTTTACCCAGCCACCATAACGTTTGTACAAAATAAATGAATCAATCAATAAATATTTTGTGTGGCAACCGTTTTTGAGCGAATTTTTTCCATGTACCAACAAGAAAAGTAAAACTGACATCGTGAAAGATATGAAGATTAGCTTGTTAACTGCATCTTATCTCGGAAATCGAAATACTTTTACTATATCAATAAGCTCTTAGGCGAATTAGAAAGAATAATAGAAGACGGCATGGTGCTAGGGAATAGGAGAAGAGGCCGACCAGCATAAACATCAGCACGGTACATAAATGACTACTGGATAATAAAGTACAACAGGAAGGGGATCTGGAAAGACCTAGTTTCTTTCACACAGACCATGATGAGAGCGACGTTCTGTAAATGACATGCTACATGCTGATGCGTCAGCATCTAGGGCTTAGACTTTGTTAACACGCTTCGTAAAGCTAGGGTGCCGGGTTCGATCGCAGCTGCGTTCAATTAGGCAACAGAATGCCTCGAATTGGTTTCGACTGTTGTCCTGAGAGCTTACCATTCAATTAGCAATCGCAGAATACTGAATATGAAATGTACCTTCATCGGCACCTTTCCGTCTTTCCAGACCATAGTGTTTTATTGCTCTATGAGGAGGCATGAGACCACAGCCCATGGCAATAGCGAGTGTGACTAGCAAGACCTGCCCGTGTCAAGAAAGGTCTTCCACAATGATAGCATGAGATTTCAGGACCATTTGTGTCAACATTTGTGTTTAATCCGTCTTTTTTCAGACGCTCTGCTCTCATCCTTTCTGCAATCATTTCTTCTTTCCATCAGTCTCATTTCCTTCCTGATATGCCCTTTCCACACAACACGATCCATAGCATTTTGTTCCCATGAATCCACCTCAATACCTGTATCATTTATGTCCTGCTTGCACACATCTTTATACCGTAATAGAGGTCATCCGCGACATCTTGTTCCTGTCTTTATGGACTCTGCCATCATCGATTCTCCAAGTGTGACCCAGCCACCTGAGCCTTCGTAGACTGAGCATTGAAAAGACTGTTGTAGTACCTGCTCTTTCCAGTAGCTCAGTGTTTGTGATTTTGTCCTGCCACTTAATGCTAAGTATTCTTCTTAGGCATCGCATGTTAAAGCTATTAGGCCGTCTCTCCTAGTGCAAATGGGTTGACCAAGTTTCACTGCCATAAAGCAAAGTGATGAGAGCACAAGCCTGATAGACAAGGGCTTTTGTTTTAATTGTGAGCTTTCTATTCTCCCAAAATCTCTGTAAATCTGCCCATTGCTGTTGCTGCCTTACCAACCCTGATGTCGATTTCTTGGTCCAGCGATAGTTTACTATTCACTGTGGAACCCAGATAGATAAAATGGTCTACTGTCTCAAGCTCTTCACAGTCAATGTAGACTGTAGGTCTGTCATTGACACCTTGCACCATAACCTTTGTCTTCTTTTTGCTGACTATTAGTCCAAATTATCAGCACGCATCAGCAAAGGCAGATAGTAAAAATTTCAGTTCCTCCTCTGATTGGGTGGTTTTTGCGGCATCATCTGCAAACAGCAGCTTTCTGATTAGTACTTTTCTTATCCAGGTTGTGGCCTTCAGCCTGCGAGCATTGTAAAGGCTGCCGTCAGATCGAGAATGAAATTTACCTAGAAAGAACATCACAATAGCCCACATGAATGAAGGGGCTGGTTCTGCAACGCCCCGTAAGCGATACGACACTAACGTTTAACTTGATGATAAACATTTTTACGAATGAGGTCGCAGAATGTACATCCAGCATTTGTGCCACTCACCCTGGATGGTTAAATGCTCACAAACTAATGTTCGTCCGGTTTATAATGTTAGTTCCCCACCTTTCTTCTTCTTCTTCTTCTTCTTGTTCTTTATCTTCTTCTTCTTCTTCTTCTTCTTCTTCTTCTTCTTCTTCTTCTTCTTCTTCTTCTTCTTCTTCTTCTTCTTCTTCTTCTTCTTCTTCTTCTTCTTCTTCTTCTTCTTTTTCTTCTTCTTCTTCTTCTTCTTCTTCTTCTTCTTCTTCTTCTTCTTCTTCTTCTTCTTCTTCTTCTTCTTCTTCTTCTTCTTCTTCTTCTTCTTCTTCTTCTTCTTCTTCTTCTTCTTCTTCTTCTTCTTCTTCTTCTTCTTCTTCTTCTTTGGCTGTTCATCCAGCTCGGGACTTCAGAGTTCTTTCATATACTTTTGCGTGCACATCAGTTTTACAGATCTGACCTAATCGATGCTTTGGTTCCTTGCCTCTCAGACAAATGCACTCCCACATCGAAGGAAACCCCTAAATTAGTCAACTCTTGCGACATGCTTGTTGAGAAGGCAGTGGGTCTAATCTTGATCTCCCCACAATGGGGCCCTAGATCCCACAGGGGGAACCTGTTTATCTCTCTACGTCTACATGGCAACATTTCAACCATTTCTTTCTGGAATGTTTTTTCTTCTTCTTTATTTGTTTATCGGCTGTGAACTAAGACATAAAATGTTGCCTGTTCGTCAGCTCTTGTACTGCGGATTTGATCCATAACCCGAGTTTTGCCTGCACGCCTCTTTTTCATACCTGTGTTGTTTGTTTGCAAACTGTTGTTTCCCTGCCACTCAGACAGGTGTCTCCGACTTTGAAGTAAACATTCCTAATTAGTCTCTGCCCTATTATCATAACTATTAATCGGGACGTCGTGTTTTTTCCTTTCCTCCCAAAATGGAGCCCAGGAACCTACACGGTTAGTTTGTTTTAATAGCAGCTAACTGTCATTCAATTGGGGCTGACTGGGTCTCGAGTTATGAGGACTTTTCAGGGGCTGAGTCGTTTTCAGGCGCAGCGTCCGCTTCGAGTGCTGGAGGTCCTAGGTTCAGACCCTGGTGAAGGCTATGATTTTTTTTTTCACATGGACTACTAGTAATTTCCCCAGGTCTCTGAGTAGTAACATTGGACGCCCGTGTGTATTCTTGTTTAAGAAAAAATATCTCTTGGTTTTTGAAAATGGAAAATTTGGAGTGAAAGATCTACCCAAATTATTTAAGGATCCTTGCCGGTGCAATGGAGTTCGTGCACTGCGCTGAGATTTTTCAGACTCAGGCTTGAGTTAAAAGTAGAAAGGAGAACTGATGGGTTACACCCGTGCGCCATGATGTTTAATAAACATAAACATTTCATTTAAACACACTCAATTCTTTAACATCCCTCTCTCTTTACCCCCACTTCTCTCTCTCTCTCTCTCTCTCTCTCTCTCTCTCTCTCTCTCTCTCTCTCTCTCTCTCTCTCTCTCTCTCTCTCTCACTATGTCACTCAATCTCTCTTTCTTTCAATAACTCTAGTTTGATTTCTAAAATCTCCAAAATTCTTTAATCCAAACGATGAGCATAGTTAACTGCACAATTGTTTTTTTCTAATGATTCGTACAAATGTCAAGGTTACACAAGACAGTGCACCACAAAGAACCCTATCACTGAAACAACAGAAATATAACGTGGCCATGCTGATGAAATATCTTAGGGAATACCAGCATCTGACTGACTGACTGACTTTCTACCCCACCAGGGCATCACACACGCGATAAACACCCGATGACACAATGCGCCACCATGTGGATGAGGATCACCGTGGAGAGGTCCCAGAAACCTTATTTATGGCCAGGCTATAATGCGGCCCCTGGCGAAGGCTAGAGTAGGGCTTCAAATAACGGAAAATGTCATCCTAAAAAGGACGAGAATCCACACATTGTGGCCATGCGAGTGATAAACTGATTAATTGTCTTGGGGAACACCAGCATCCATTACGCAGAACAATCCAAGGTTCACACCTTTTCAAAACCTGACACTGAAAAGCGGAACAAGGCTAGAAAAAAAAAAACTCATAGTTTTTTTCTAATCAGTCATGAAATAATAATCACATTATTGTCACTCCATAGGGTTTCACATGTTTTAGAAATATATATTGTGTTTATTTTTCAAATGACCATGCAGTAGTTCCTGTGAAACTCCTGCCGCCGTCGACTGTGATTAGCTCCCCTGTGATAAAACCAGCAGCTTGAGATGCCAAGAAAGCCACGGCTTCGGCAACATCATCTAGAACTCCGATTCTCCCTTTAAGAGGTTGAAGATGCCTCTCCGCTTTCTCGATTTGTCTCTGGGCTTCTTCCGGATCTTTAAGATCTCTAAGGACCAGAGTTGGGAAATATCCAGGGTTTACTGAATTCACTCGAATGCCTTTTGGGCCTAGCTCCACAGCCAAACATTTTGTCAGGTGATCGAGAGCTACTTTACTTAGTGAATAAGTAATCGCATTTGTCATTATCATAAGTGCCGCAATGGATGATATATTTACGATGCTTCCCTTAGTTTTCTCCAGATACGGCACAGCTTGTTGGATGAGAAAGAACACTGATTTTAAGTTGGTGTTCATAACAGTGTCAAATTCGTTTTCAGTTTCTTCCATAAAGGAACTGCAGGTTGATAAAACTCCAGCGTTGGCCACAAGAATATCTAGCCGTCCAAACTTCTCAATAGTGTGTTCAATTATTTCCTTTCGTGTTTTCTGGTCTTTCAAGTCTCCGGAAACTGTTAGGAACCTATCCTGGTGACCACCGCTGATTTTCACAACCTTATCCATAACTGCCCGCAGTCGGAGCTGATCGCGTCCACACAGAGTGACCTTGGCCCCTCTAGAAGCAAACAGGATGGCCATGGCCTCTCCCAAACCAGCGCTGGATCCGGTTACTATGACAACTTTGTTAGCGAATTGTGGCGCCATTGTTACAAGCACTTTGTATAAAAAGCTACTATTTCAGATAATGTTATGGCTTTAACAATACACAACTATCAATAGACGATCATCAGAAATGTCCAAGCATTGCCACACCAGCGTGTAAGCACCACGAGTTATATAGCCAGAGTATACCGGAGTGGAAAGAAAAAAAAATTGTTGATGTCATAATACTTCATTTCTGGCATGTGCGGTATGACAGTGTGACAGCTGGGTTATCTAAGTTTGTTTACAGTTTGGCGCATCACATCCGGCATTAATTGGGGTTAATTGGGGTTTATGCACCATCTAAGTTAGAAGCTGATAAACATGTATAGGTTTAGTGTGTTTGTGTGTGTTTGGAAAGGGGGGGGGGGGGGTAATGGACACGATAATAACTACTGCACGAGAAAACTGTAAGGTCTAAAATGCAATAGGCAGCTGCACACATACACACACAAATACACACACTCACTCCTGCGAAATCACACACGATGACACACATATTTATGTAGTTAGGTAGAATGTTGAATTACAAATCTAAATCAAAGCATTTGGTATATTCCCATAAGCGCTCCCTCCCCATCTTCAGCAGCAAGCGACGAGCTCCAATTCTTATGGTACCAGTAACAGTCTGATTGTACATCCATCACGCAGAGTACCAATGTTGTCTTTGAGACTATTGCTTGATAAGGCCATAATTTATTCCACAGTACGCCTCTCGTACAGCTGTTCAAACACCACGAGAACGGATTTCTCTTTCTTCCCTTTTTCCTTCCCTATTCCGAGACGTGGAGCGAACCACAGCACTTAATGATTATGAAATAGTTCACCGTACTGGCTAGCCTCTAAGCCACGGTGCCGCTCTAATGTAATAATAAAACGTGGTATTGCTATACAAGAACAACCAAGAGGTTTTGAAAGAGGCGGGAGCCCGAAGACAACTTATCATAGATATCAGAAGGAGACAGCCATTATTTTTCGGCCATGTTATGAGAAGAGGGAAAATAGAACATGTTGTGACTACTGGAAAGATCTGTGGAAGCAGGGATAGAGGAAGACAACGAGAGAAGATTCTTGACAGTCTTGTTGCATGGCATGGAGGTGTGTCGGCACACGAACTGATACATGCTGCAGGAGATCGTGGATTACGGAAGGCATGATCGCCCACGCCAGTCGGCAAGGCACCTGATGATGATGATTGCTATACATGAGAGTCGCGTAGCTGAGCGGCAAGACATCCATCTTGTGCTGATTGGTCTATAAAAATATAGGTCTAGCCCTATATGCCCTATACGTCTAAAGGCGTGTAAAAAGGTCCTTTACTTTTTTTTTTTTTTCACTTGTTGCTATTCTTACTAAAACAGGCTGACCCCTCTTCATTACTATTTAAACCCCTCTAGGTCTAAATATTAATTACTGTAGCAACATATTAAAAAGGTGGATGGTTATACCAATGCAAAGATTAAACAGCCTTTAAAAAGTCTATGGTTAAGCTCCAGAAAGGAGATCAAAATTATAATTTTGAAAGCAGGCATCTTCCCTGTAGCAACATAAGGATGTGAGTCGTGGACTATATTCCCAGTCCTTACGAAAGAGAATAGGGTCTTTTGAGCAGAAATCCAGTAGAAAGATCCCAGAATATTTTGGACATTCTATGGCCTGCTATGTCAAATGTATTGTTGTTATTTAGTAAAAAGACATTAGTGTCATTAGTTTATGCAGATGGTGACACAAATGTGTCTATGTCTGTCATAAATGACAGGTTCTAACAAAAAAGCAAATGACATTCAAATACATATGTTTATGTCGTTTCTGACACATAAGGCATTCACAAGTGATCTCCGTTGCTGCTGGTCAGCAATTTGTTTGTTTGTGTGTGTGTGCGTGTGTGTGTGTGCGTGTGTGTGTGTGTGTGTGCCTAAGTTCCATTTCATGTTATATACCTTCAAAACTCTTTCTACAATCTTTCTCCAGGGTTTCCTTAGTCAACCACGTCTCCTTTTCCACCTGCCGTTTATCGGAGAGCTATCCTTACCAAGATGTCACAATGCATTATGCTTAAGCCATCCTGATCTTATTTTGACTTTTTTTTTTTCAAGTATCCAGAAATCATGAGTTGTTAACCCTTTGGCTCGGCACTATGGATATTCCAGCACAAATCGGCGACACATGTGGCGTTTCTGCCTACCCTCTTTGGTGTTTGTCCATTGTCAATACAATTTGTATGTAGAACACATTTGGAAAACAAATTACGCGACATCAGAAAATGCGCCCCATCTTCAGTCATAAGGCAAAATGCAGTGAATGGTTGTCGCTCTTTGTAATAATTTTTTGCATTCAAAACAAAAAAAACAAAATTGTCCTAGGAATGAAAGAAAGCATTTATTTTGTTGTTGACTGAAAAAGTGCTTAAAAATGGCCTGCGATACACACGTACGGTTGTTCAAAGATTCATAACCAGATTTCCTGCTAAAAAGCCTCCTCATCACACTAAAGTTGGAAATTTGCGCATAAGTTTTTTAGGAAATGCAAAAGATGCTCCGCGATCTGTTAGAGTTGTATATCTAAAGGAAAATGTATATATATCCAAGACAGAATCCTGAAAAGTCAAAGCAAGCACTCAAGAAAAAGTTTATAAACCATCAGTTTACCACCAACCGGTGAAGAAACAGCAAGTCTGTCTGCCTGTTCATTTTCCAGCATAACTTGCATAACAGGGAGAAAACATGCAGAAGACGCTAACTACCCGTGTTCTAGTTTGAACTACCATGTTTTTCACCTTAGTCCCTTTTTCATCTTTCCATTACTATCTCCTTGTTATTTATTTATTTATTTATTTATTTATTTATTTATTTATTTATTTATTTATTTATTTATTTATTTATTTATTTAGTTATTTATCTGTATATATGAATCAATGTTCGTGTGTTTGTTTATAGCCTATAGACTCGGAAACTACTGAACCGATTTAGCTGAAATTTTCAGGATATATTTGTTTTGATACAGGATGTTTACCCATCATGGTTTGAAATTCAATCTGTCATTGTTAGAGATAGTGTGCGACAATTTTTGCAAAAAATATTCGAAACTAATATTTAAATTTTCACTGACATCTAATTATAGCCACGTTACTTCATGCGCATATGCGATCGATTTGCCGCGCATGCGCAGTAGTGGCGCTCCATCGTCAACATTCGCCCGCCACATTTAAGTTATATTACAAAGAAAACAATTGCCTGCGTTTTTAGTTTTGTTATCTAGAAATATCTAAAAAGGTAAGAGCGTTTATTTTAGTAACATTAGTCAGTATGAACATGTTTTTAGTTTACTTCAAACAAGTGTGCACCACTTCTTAAATCCCGCAATGATAAATGTATACACATTATCATTAATCATTATCTGTTTTATTAATCATACTCATGAGTACAACAGTTTTCGTTGGCTTTCTTCTGTTATTCAAAAGAATTATATAAATTTACACGGCATTCCGTCTCAGGTCAGTGTTAGAATCTAGAAATATCTAAACAGGTGAGCACATTTATTTCAGTGACATCAGTCAGTATGTACATGTTTTTGTTAACTTCAAACAAGTGTGGACCACTTCTTAAATCCAGCAATGATAAATGTATACACATTATCATTAATCATTATCTGTTATCTTTCTCATACTCATGAGTACAACAGTTTTGGTTGGCTTTCTTCTGTTATTCAAAAGAATTATATAAATTTACACGACATTCCGTCTCAGGTCAGCGTTAGAATCTAGAAATATCTAAACAGGTGAGCACATTTATTTCAGTGACATCAGTCATTATATACATTTTTAAAACTCCAAATACATGTGTGGACCACTTCTTAAGGCCCACAATGATAAATGTATGCACAATATATGTTGGCTTTCTCATATTGTCTTATATACCGCTTTTTCCTACTATTTACTGCCTAGTTTCTATGCATTTTCTCTTGAGTCAAAATAGATTGTTATCTCATGCTCATATTTTCATTTACTTCAGCTGTACTTCAAGTCACATTTCATTCAGTGCGTGAGGACGAACAAGCTATTGATGATCAACGCTCACAAAATTTTGCAGTTATGCTTCCCAAACGACAAGCGATTGGCCCATCTACACCTAAAACACGCAAGAGAAGGGCATTAATTGCTTCAGAAACAGACGAGCAACGTGAGGTAAGACTGGAAACCATTCGAGTGCGCACTGCTGAAGCCCGTTCATCTCAATCAGACCAGCAACGGAAAGCAAGACTAGAAAACGTTCGAGTGCACACTACTGAAACCAGATCGTCTCAGTCAGACGAGCATCCAGAAGCAAGACTGGAAACCAATAGAGTACTCACTGCTCAAGTCCGTTTATCAGCAACGGAATGCAAGACTGGACACCGTTCGAATGCACACTACTTTATCCAGGCGAACACTACATGTTGATTTGAATCTTGGTGCATTCCATTACAACTGCAATTATGATTACAGTCTTCATCCACAGGTGCTTATTGGCAAAATGGATAAATTGTGCATACATTGCAGTGCCTTCAAATTCAAGAATGACACGCCGGGTATGTGCTGCGTTGGTGGAAAAGTTAAATTGCCATCATTACATTCACCACCCGGACCATTATCATCATTGGTAGCAGGTGACACAGGCCAGTCGACATATTTCTTGGCAAACATAAGTACATTTGCAAATATGTCAACAAAGGAGGCGATATGGCAGTCTTTGGAGTGGGACATGTAGCTGTATCTATCGATGAAATCAAGCAATATCAGCTGGGGCGCTACATTAGTAGCAATAAAGCGGTATGGCGCATTTTGTCTTTTCCAGTTCATGAACGACATCTAGCAGTTGTTCATTTGGCAGTGCACCTTGACAATAGACAGCGCGTGTACTTCACTACAGAAAATGCACATGCACGAGCATTGTTACGACCGCCAACCACGTTAACTGATTGTTCTCATTGTGTAGAGATGATATGTTTGCAAAGACACTACTTTA